ATGCAAAACACTATCATCTTCTCCCAAGAGTCTTTTTTTTTTTTCTTTTAAATATTTTATTCATTTGAGAGAGAGAAAGAACATGAGAGCACAAGCAGGGAGAGAGGCTGAGGAAGAAGGAGAAGCAGACTCCTGAATTTGCTGAAAATATATTCCCTATCACCAGCCCCTATTAATGGTATCCACAAATCTAAATCTGGTGTTCTGTGGTCATGCATCAGATGATTGATTTTTACATCACTGAAATATAAACCACAGTGTAGCAGATAGCAAGCACTGATATGTTTGGAAAGAAAAGGAGGAAATGGGGAACCAATGGAGAACCATTTTTTTTTTTTCTGAACCTTTGAAATATTCCTTATAATAACATTTTCTAAGGAACTCACAGTATATTAAGGCATTATCTAATAATGCCTCATAATTTAAGAATAAAGAATGTTAATCCCTTCCCCATTTTTAACCTGAAGACAAGCTTGAAGATGAAAGAGGCATGTCCTAGAATGTGTTTCCAGGTTCATGGACAAAAGGTGATGCATAATCTCTCAATAGTTAATTCTTCCTATTCTCAGAATTTTCTCTTGCCTAATATAAACTGGGTGATACAAGCAACCAAAGCTAAGATGCCCTAAGAATTCTCATATTGAAATGAAGAGTTTTAAAGACACGTGCAATGATTAAATCACTTCCTTTTTGTGAAAGACTACTGTCAGGTGAAAGATAGAAAACATTAACTGATCTGTTCAGAACTGGGCCACTCTCTGCAACTGTCCTTATGCCCTTCAGTGCAGGGTTAAGTTCTTTGTTCACTTTGGCCCTGGCTGAAGGGGAATGGGACTTAAGGTAGAGATTACACGAAAGTCACCATTTTGTAAAAGCTATCAGAGATGCCATAAGAACGGAGATGTTCACTTGCAACAAGGGGTGAACATCAAAAGAAGAGTAAAGACAGTGGAAAGTAGACTGCTTTCTCTGAAGCTTATCGGAGTTCCTTTGGTTGAGAAATCAAGACTTGAAATCTCAAGATAAAAAGCTCGCTTTTGACAAAGTCAGTGAGTACTGGCTTTCGCTGGAAATACCAGATAAGTGGCTTTTCTGGCAACCAATCTGTTTTTCTCATTACCGTAGGCAGCTATGTGTGAAAATAGCTCATGAAACCCTTCTCAGAAATCTTAAGGAGTTTAAGAAATAGATACATGGAGGGAGGGGAATTCTAATGTTTTATATAATACCCTTTGTATCAGAGACAAGTTACCCCATGTAATGCTTCAGGTTAGAAGTGAAAAAGAGGCTGGATGCCAAGTCCAGATTCTAAGATGTCAGGCCAAGTGAAATGGAAGGAAAATTACTATTGCTAGATTTATTAAAAATAAAATTTGAGAAATCACAAACCCAGAAAAAGCAAGACAGTGGAGTGGGACCTCTGTCAGCAGGAGCAGCTAACACCAACCGCAGAGGCCCAGGATTATCCTTTGGGCAAGCAAGCTATCAGGTAAGAAAAGAAACTGGGTAGGAATGTATTTTCTTCTGGGACCTGGCCTAAGCGGACAGGATTCTCTCTGCATCTCAAACCAGTTTGTTTTCCTCTTGGACTTCCTGGTCTGAGATGCAGAGAGAATTCGGTCTCCCAGACCAGGTTACTTTAAATGAAACAAGTCCTGTTTAAAATTGCTTTCACCTTGAACTAAAGAAAACTTATTATGGAATTATTTCTTTGCCCTTTACAGTATCACAGATACCCTGACAAAGTATTACAGCCAGTGATTTCTAGGTGGAAAAGTAATATGGCTTTGAAGCCAACATCCCCAAATAAGATAGCAAATTATATTGTATCTGATAATACTGATTGTTATACTCCTAATAAAACTAGTCAAGTTTATTGAATACCATCAGGCAGATATGCTGCTGAGTCCACTGGGCCCTTTTTATGAATTGATTCTGTAAGCTGCCAAGAAGTAAATACTCCTATTATTTTCATCATACAAAGTAGAAAATGAGACCTAAGTGACTTATCTTAGGTCACATTAGCTAACCCAGGTGGTCTGGCTCCAGTACCCATATCACCTCTTAATGTATTATATAATTGCATAAATCCCAAAAACTATTTAGCCCAGCATTCAAGGCCCTCAGTACACCTCCTACTTCCTCTGCTAGCTAATGTCTCATTTATTTGCTTCCTTGCATCACAGAATTTTAAGATTTGTCCAATACTCACACTTGGATTTCTCTCTCATTCTCTCTCAACCTGGCTATAATCTGTCTTCCACCCTATCACTTTACTGAAACTGCTCATAAAGTTGGCAATGACCTCCACATAGTGAATCCAGGGGGTCAATTCCCGGCCATCTGTTCAGGTCAGTTGTAAGTAGGATCTGACATGATAATTTCTCTCCTCTGTTTGGTTGCCTTTCTTCTCTTGGTCACTGGTACCTCACAATCTCTTCATTATCTCAAAGGTCATTTCTTTTCAGTGTCTTTGCTGGTTCCTTCTCCTCTTCCTAACCTCTAACATCAGACATCTCCAAGGCTCACCTCTTGGTGATTTTCTCTACTATATCCACATTCTCTCCCTTGGTGATCTCAGGCAGGCTCATGGTTAAAGTTAAAAGTCCATGTAGATGCCACTGACCCCAGCCCAGAACACTTTCCTACCATCTGCACAAATAACTGCTTATTCAACATTGCCACTTGGATGCCCAATAGGCACCTCAAATTCAACACACCCACCATGGAACTCCTGAATCCTGACTCCCTCAGAATACCCAATTTGCCTTCATCTTCCCTATTTCTGTTGTTGGAAGCTCCATACTTCCAATTGCTCAAGTAAAAAATGTGATTTGTCTTGATTAACAATGCATTTTCTTTCTCTCATACCAGAAACCCTATGGACTCGACCTTTAAAACTATATCCAGAATCTGACCACTTCTTATCACTCCATAGCTACTACCCTTACCAATGGTGCCCAGTTTCATTCTCAACAATGTCTTAAACAATGAATTATAGTTGTCCTAGTACAAGGCCTTGATCTCATCACCCATCCCTATCCCAGTGTTACCTCTCTGATCTTATCCATTAATCTTCCCTGCTTCACTCCACGCCCTACTGGTACCCTTGCTAACCTTCGGTAAGCCAAGCAGATGACTGCTTTGGGGCCTTTGTTCTAGTTATTCCCTCTGTCTGGAATGCTCTTCTCCCAGATCGCCACATGACCATTTTCTCACTTCCTTCAAGACTTTATTAGAGGTTCAATGAGAAACTGTTTACTCCAACAGGGAACCTTTCCCTCCACTTGGAATCTCTCTGCATCTCAAACCAGTTTGTTTTCATCTGTTCATCTCTTGTCTGTATCGACTCCACTTATATCCTTCCAACATATTAGATAATTCTACCTATTAATTCATTTTTACTTATTATTTTGTTCACTGATGTATCTCAAGGGTAGAACATACCTGGCACATATCTGTAAATGCCCAGCAAATGCTTGTTGAATGAAGAAACAACCACATATACACTAACGACAGATGTCATTATGCCTTCTTAGACAGTCTTTTTTTTCTTTCCCGGTTCACTGTCTTTCCTCTTGTCTTGATCCTTCTGCTTGAGATAGACATTATCAAAATGTCTCATCTTTGGTTCAAAAAAACCCCATCACCTCTCTCCCTCCCCATTCACAGGTTAAGAATAGAAGCAGACTAATAAATGAAACAAAGAAACTCTGAAATTAATTATTACTTACAATTTTCCAAAAACAGTGATTAAAGTGAGAGATCCATGGTGTTCTTACCGAACTGCCTTTAAATGCCTGGCACTGAGTCTCAACCACTTACCTCTGAACTCAGGTTCACTTTTAAACTTCCCATAGTTTAGACACAAAGGAATCCCTGACTAATACTGCCACCTACCGATCAAGAGGATGAGCAATCAGTATGAGAGAGAAAATGAAATCCAGTTTAACAAAAATTAGAAAAAGAAAATAATGAAAAAGTTCATGAAGTCAGTAAAATAAATTGCTTTTCCCGAAGAGTGCTAGCAGGGAGTCTATGTTGAACTCTACAGTGAATAAAGATTGCAAATAATTATAACCCATTTCAGAAAAGAGGAAACATCTTTGAGATATTAACAGGGCAACACGTCTTCTATCATAAACGAGCTCTTCAACTTTTCAACAGTAACTCTCTTAAGAATTAAGATGTCTGAAACTCTTAACAAACATATTTGTTGCTTTTATGGTCCCTCACATATAAACAAAAGTTAATCCACCACAAGATTTAAAGTTCATTAAGAAAAAAAAAAATTACAGAAAAAACATTTGGGTTAATTCCAGGCCATTTATATTTGAGGCTCTACACTAATAAGTTTCTCCTCTTTAGAAGTGTAGAGAGAACTCTTTCTTGATTGTGTAAAAACAATATTGTTCAAGATCAAGGATTATGGGTCATGAGGTCTAGGGACTCAAAATGCAATGGCATCTTTGTATTTATTTACCAAGATCTGGCATTCTTTTCATCATCAAAAGCCTCTTGTGTCTGCCCCCACCACACCACTGCCACCACCAACACACATACTGGGGGAATAGTAAATGTTCGGTAAAAAGTTAGTTGACATATGCTTTAGAAAGCCATTTATCTAAATCATTATATTCACTCATTTTTTTTTAAGTTGTTCAACAATGTATTAAGCAGTCAATTTCAAGTTTATATCATTAATTGCTTTCATTAACTTAAACTATTACTAAAACATTTTAGGAAATTAATATATATTGTCAAAATCAAAAACAGAAGACAATGTGTTTTTGAAAAATCCTAAAGAACGTAAGTTTGCCTAAGGAAAAAACTAAGGAGGGAAACAGTTTTTTATCTTGCACATGTCTTCCCAATTTAAACATTACACAGGAGCAACAGGAACAATAAAAGAAGTGGCTTTTAACAAAAACACAAATACAAACAAAAATGTAATACATTCATAAACATAGAGGATTAAAAGTAATAATTCCAAGAGAAGATACTTTAGAAAAATGCATTTAATTATAAAAATTTTTTAAATAAAAAAGCAATGGCACAAATCACAACAATGTTATTTAAGTGATCATATCCACAGGCTGCTCCTATAATTACAGGCTAAAAATTTACGACTGTTCTCATTAACAGCATTTTCCCTCCTAACTGGAATGACATCAAGAGCTTCAGAGAATGTGTAATTTTCCCTAAAATACTACTAAAAGTATCATAAACACAGTGTGTGCAACACTCATTTACATCACCTTTTATTTACTACACGCTAAACTCATAAAATATTGAACATTTCTCACTTCTTTTCTCTTATTTATGGTTCAGAGGCTCATCTCTTGTCACAATATGGTTTGTGCATTAAACTCCCTGGGAATAGTACTTTCCACAGCATTTTAATAAATTTACTCTGATTATCTAAAGTACACAAACAAAAACTTGTTCATATGACTGTGTCATACCCAGAAAAAAATAATGCTTCCTGCAGCCTTCTTTAGGAATTAAAAAGAAAAAATAATCCCTCTTTCAGTAGAATGCATTCTTAATCATTACCGGATTATACTATCATGCATATTTATACTAGTATGACCATAGGTAAAGCCAGCTAAGTCTTCATAAATTTCACTTAGGAGAATACAGCATACATGAAGTGATTTGGCTTTCACTCTTTTGTTACCCATAATCCAGTTATTCCACATGGATATATTTTATTTATTCTTAATATATAAGTATTTAAGAGTTCAGTAATAATGGGCGGTTTCTGACAGTTTTATTTGCTTAATCGCAGATACGGTTCTGCACACATATGTCAGATGAACTGAAAACAATGCAAATCACTTCATGTGATACAGCGGGGAGAAGTGGGATGTTATTGTTTGAACAAATGATTCAAAGGGAGGAATATTAATATTCGATGGTGACAGGAATACTGTTGAATTCAGTCTATTTTAAGATGCATTGTCTTCACGACTTGCCAAATACCTGGTATTTGTGATCTTTTCGGTTAAAAAGCAAACCTCGTTGGGGAAAGGCAGACATGAGGAGGAGAAAAAGGAGAGGAAGCACGCATTACCATGTATATGATTTTAGAGAAAAAAAAGTGAGAGGAAGAGAGTATGTTTTCACATAAAACAAACTGTCACATCCGGGCACCTTTCACAGAGTCTAAGAGCTGCCAAGCTAATTAACCCCTTTTCCTCTGACTCTAGAGATCTTTTGTTTGCTCATCGTATTATTAATGAACATAATTCTGGCAGCAGCACAAATCTGTAACTTTTTAAGGCTTCAGAGTGTCACTATTCATAAGTTGGGTACATGTGAACAATAGAAGAGTCCTGCCGTTTCTTTTATTTGCTCTCTTGCTCCAGCAAGGAGCCTCGGGAGGTCCTCAGGGTTCTCTGCAGCTTCAGTCTCCTACGACAGCTTAGACTTGATGACCCACTCGGCATTGGGGTTGAGCTGATACAAGTCCTTCATGTAAGTGTCGTCGTCAAGGCAGCGCTCTCCTATCAAAGAGACACTGGATGAGGCAGAAACGGTGCAGAGGCTCGGATGCAATATTAAACTTACTCCTCATGGCTTAACTCTGAAATCCTAGACTTCAAAATATGTCTCATCCTTTCCCATCTCCCAGAACATTATAAGACTTGGCCAAAATACTGCAAAAGTCAGTTTCGTAGGCCTTCTCTAAAGGAATGGGTTTCGAATTAATTTAGGAAGTTGAAAATACTTTGTGTGAAGGGCTCTGCAATGGCTCATTAAAAGCTTATGCACCTTTATTAAGAGCGGCAACAGTCTGGGGTCTATCTAAGTAAGAAACAATACTTCATTCCCAATATCTAAGAGTAAAATGCAAGATCAAATATATATATATATATATATATATATATTTAAATAAACTTTGCTAACAGAGTTGACATTTCCAGGCTTCTAACAGAGTTGCAGTTTATTTTTTTTTTTTTATTAACATATAATGTATTATTAGCCCCAGGGGTGCAGGTCTGTGAATCGCCAGGTTTACTTCACAGCACTCACCAGCAGTTTATTTTAAGAATAAGCCTTCATATGCCCGTGTTCAAGTTTCAGTATTTACTAACACTTTTGTGTCCCAGGAAACAACTCCACAAAACTTAAAATCTTAAAATATTTTCAATTATTATTTTGAATTAAACACTATTTCATTGATTTGTTTCACCTATACCATTTTTGAGGCCCAAAATAAAGAGAAAATATTACTTTAAATTTTAATAGAGGTGAGTACAACAGACTGGTAACTGGAAATGGGCATCTAAAATACAAGGCATGGTAAGAATCAATCCATTCATTCTATTTCTATTCCCTAAATTACCAATATGCTTGTATTCATATGTGTGTATATCTGTGTTGGTCTGTGTGTGCGAGTGTGCATTATTTAGAAGGCAATCAACAGTGGCAAAAATAACTTCTGCTTTCACTAAAAATATCTAGTACTGAGCCATAATAAAAATGTAATCCTAGCCTTAAATAAGCTCAGCTACTTCCTTTATTAAGATGTGATGTAAGCATACAAAAAAGAAAGAAGTTTTGAAAAAGTTCATTACCATTCTAGAAGCTGCTACTATTTTAAGGCAATTTGCCCTTGCTGAGGTTTAACACAGATGGGCATTTGTATGAAGGAGCTCAAATAGAGTCTGAAAAGTCGGACCACTGAACAAATCCACAAAATTCATCAACTATCTAAAGCATACTATATTTAACTTCTGATTTTTTTTCTCTTCAAAGATATAAATAATAACCATTGGCAATGTCAAATCAGCATATGTAACACAGAGAGAAACAAAATGTGCTTACCAATATTTCCTCCAATTTCATACAAAAAAACTTCTCCTTTCTTAAGAGTCTGGGCAATCCCACTATTAGGGACAAAACAAACTGATTAGTTGTATCATCAAACAGCTTGCAAGTAAATCACTTTAATGTGCTTGGGGAATTCTGGCTTGTATGGGAAATTCATAACTTAGACACATTGTAATTATCTAACATTTGTATTTTCCCATCTGTTAAGTGTGCCAAATAGGTAATAAAAATGTCACACCTGTAAATTAAAATAAACAAATGGACTCATACATCTGAGGGCAAAATAATACATCAGCATCTAAATTTGTAAAATCAAAAAGAAAAGTAACATAATGTTGTAGCTGCCAATCAAATTCTCAATTTGATCAACTACTTTGCATAGGGGCCAGAAAAGCCTCCTGAAACTACAAAAAGAAATATTTCCACCTCGGTTTTCACATTGCATTTATTCAATAAGTATTTATCATGTGTTTGCTGACAACTGCCCCAGTATACAAGATGAATGTAAAGAACAGGACATGCTTCATAACCCTTCCTGTGCTGGCCATTCAGATACAGGGGTTACACACACTCAAAGTAGGAAGCAAATAGTCATTTTGAAGGTTTCACAAGGAAGAGATGCATTTACAGAGTTATGATCTTCAAAGAATAAACTCTTCTAGAACTTTGGGTTCAAATAATAAAAACCAGTAAAATTCAGTGGTTTTCAAAATGCTGTATACAAATTACCTCAGAAACCTGCTAAAAATTCAGACCCGGAGCTCTAGAAACTGATTTTGTAGGTCTAGATCAAGCCAAAGAATCAGTTTTTCAAATGCTCCCAGGTAGACTGTGATGCACAGAAGGGTTTGTGAACCACTTCTGTAAGGCCCCGAAGACATGCTCCCTGAAACTGTGAAGGGAAAAGCAGATCTGACTTTTATGCAAAGCATTACATATGGCACAGTAGAAGCTCTCCTAACCCACCGATCCCATGACTCATCCGGGTTATCCAACTCAACTACTCTGCTGTCTGGAACATGATAGACACTTGGGGCTGCATACGCCCCCATAGTTAAAAGCCACCTGCCGAGTTGTATGCTAACCAAGAGACAGCTCACTTTATTCCAAACTGGTGTATGCTTTTTTTTTTAATTAAATAATAATTACTTTATTTGTAATATAGCACATAATGCGATAAACTTTGAGTATAAAAAGAGTCATTATTTCTATGAAAAGTAAGCTGAATGTTTTGGGAGACTTGTGTGGGGGGTGGGAATGAATTAGATATTGCTCTCAGATTGTTTCTCCAATATCTGTGCTCTTGTTCTACTTTAAACACACACACACACACACACACAAAACTGGATTTCCTGGGAAATACAAGCTTTGCATAATGCTAATGAACAAATCCATAATTAAAGAAATGGCAATAGCCTTTATCAAAACTGGTGAGTAAATGTGAAATTTATTGTATATTCACTTTATGTCATTCATGTGTTCTTGTCTTTGGTGGAGAAAGTAGGGGAGGGAGAGGATGGGGGAGGGAGGGTTTCCAACTGCCCCTGGGCTGATGGAATGCAAGTGAGGGGAAGAGGAGAACGTGGTGGAAGAGAACATATATATAAACACTTATGGAGAACTTCACTTATATGGCCCAAATAGATAGTGCTAATGCGCTTCATGGTCATTTTCCTGGTTCATTATCACAAGATTATAATGCAAGTCCTGTTATGGTCTACTCTTACAAATAAAAAACTTGAGACTTAAAGAGATTATAAATCTAGCTTAAAAAGAACCAGAAAAAGCTGGGGCGCCTGGGTGGCTCAGTGGGTTAAGCCTCTGCCTTCAGGTCAGGTCACGATCTCAGAGTCCTGGGATCGAGCCCCGCATCGGGCTCTCTGCTCAGAAGCGAGCCTGCTTCCCTTCCTCTCTCTCTGCCTGCCTCTCTGCCTACTTGTGATCTCTGTCAAATAAATAATAAATAAAATCTTAAAAAAAAAAAAAAAAGAAAAAAGAAAGAAAGAAAGAAACAGGAAAAGCTGACATCTAGAAAAGCTGGATCCAGATCCTCTGCCTTCAGCATCCTCAAGCATGGAGAAAGGAGCTGAGGAATGTTTGGGGGTGGGGGGGGTAAGCAATGGACAGAGAGGTTTACCAGATGTCCCTCTGGGTAGAGCAGGATAGGGCAAAGGGAGGAGGTAGAGAAACAGACTCCATTCCAGGGGGGCAGCAAATGCTTACTTAATAACAGCACCTTGAGCAGAAAATCTAAATATGCAGAGGACAATTGTCACAAATCGGTGCTTTCTACAGCAATCATGTTATACCCTAAATATTATAGTCACAGTTGACTCCATAGTCACCTCTTCCATCATCCACAAGGACAGCAACAAATGTAGACTCAACTGAACACTTGGGTCCTTAGAGTAAATACTGTGTAAATTAACTATATCTAGGCTGAAAGACCTGCTTAGGCATCTGAAGTCTGGCCAGACGATCTTCAGGTAAGAAGATCTGGGAGAAGATGGGCAGTCATCCCTGGTGAGCATATTGGCAAGAGTTGGTATCTACTAGATCACAGCAGGAAGCAGAGAGGAAGTGGATTGATTTCATGAAGCAGAGACACCCTTTAGGGAGCAAAGACACATAACTGCTTCAGGGCTTAATTTCCTAAAATTCCATCTCTTCTGAGACTCTGCTCCAATGGCCCCAGATCTGTGACGGTTGCTAGACCCTAGCTTGTAAGAAGGGTGTTTAAAGGGCAGCCTTTGGTAATGGAAACCACCACACATTTGGAATTTAGCATCACCACCTATCAAATGCATGACCTTGCAAAGTCTCGGTTTTCTTCTCCATAAAACAGGAGCAGTACTAGTGCTTACTTCGCAGTCCTGTTGAGAGGGGAGTTGGTGCTGGCTTACCGAAAGCACAGATACGACCAATAAGCTTCTCTTCTATTTCCCCACCATCTGTTACTGCTCAGGCTCATCTCTTCTCCCAATTTAAAAACCCTGAGGGAAGAGACTTTAAAATACATCTTTATACCCCTTCTGACATCGAGCAGAGGGCCTTAAACAGAGCAGAGGCATATTAAATACTCGTGGTACTGTATTCACACTGGAGAGGTTTTGGCAGAAAACTTCACTGATGCCCTTGAACGTTACAATGCAGACATGACATTCTATCGAAGACTAAGACGGAGAATTCATAAGCTAAGAGGCCAGTGCCCCAGATATCCCTTTTGAAAAGTTTAGATTAATTTTCAATGAGCAGAAATGAGGGAAGAAATCATTAAAATAATAACTTCAGTTTAAAAAAATAAGAATTACTAGTTTCCGATGTAGCATAACACTCAGTGCTCCATGCAATATGCACTGTATGGAGACTAACATAACATGATAAAAAAAAATTAAAAAATAAGAATTAGAAGGATAAAAACTGAAAACCCAATATACTTGTTAAACCTCTAAAATTTAAGAAAAGCTATTTTAAGACGTCAAAGAAAGCGTATGCTCTAATATCATCAGAGGGATGCCAAAGGCTACCAGAAGACTCCTCCTACCCCAGCAACACCGGAACAGACGAGAAGGCTCGGTTGTCCCTAACAGGGACCGTGTGCTCTGTGTCCAGAAGACCTCAAAGCTCCAGGGACTGCCTGTCCTCTCTCAATTCTTCAGACCTTGCTTTTCAATTTCAGCATCTCTTTCTATTCATTATATTTCAGAAAAAGTTGTATTTTGTTTGTTTGTTTTAATCCCACTGTATCTTATTTAGTGATTTGCCTAACAGTCCCCACAGAGTACTTAACCTCCAGTCCACACATTCTGGAAAGAATATCGAGTGCTCTCGTGTGCCGAGCCCATTGCAGGCACAGTGAAGGCAAGCTCGGACAGCCTGCGCCCAACAGGCTCAACTTGCCCACCAACTACCTCACATGAACCCAGCTCGTTCCAACTGTCTAATTACTAAGTCTGTTCTTCTTTTCTGTGGGGAAGACAAAACAGTGAAGCACCTCCCATCACCCCTAGTTGTGTGTGTGTGTGCATGCGCGTGTGCATATGCATGTGTGTGTTAGAGGAGGAAGGGAGACCGCGCGTGTGAGCGTGTGAGTTATACTATGCAATGATTAAAACAAAACAGGCCTCTACCTTTCTTGGCTGAGAAACCTGGCAAGAACATCACTGGCTTTCAGTTCTTCTGTTAGCTGTATTGCCATGGAAACTTTCGAAAGATGGGGAGCTTGCACTCGAATCACTCCCTCAGGAACGTCAGCCTGCAAAGCAATGATGGCACTGGAACAAAGCTGGCAGCAGCTGGGACATGTAGGTCTGTACAAGGCATTATATGGGAAGTGTGCTTAACTGCTACGCATTTCACTTCACTACATAAAAACCTTAACTACTGTATAATGCAATTTGCTAAATTACATCAAACCTCAAATATCCTCTTAATGGTGATAGGGGAACTTTATAATGCCTATGCAGTAATGCTTAATTATTTTTAAAGATGTAAAGAATGACAGCAATAACCATTACTGCCATATTAAGTGCTGATTTCTGAGTATTATCTACTAGAGAGTGCTTCTTCATGTAGCAATTTATGAAATTGAATCAGAAAGAAGTTACTTTGTGTGCTACTGCAATGTATGCATTAAAAAAAAAAAATCTTCCCATGCACTGACCAAATCTCACAGAAATTTTTGTTCCTGAGCATCCTTGAAAAAAACATAACATGCTTTTCTATCCATCTGTAGCATGTCTGCTTCTGGCTTGGCTGTGAGGATTACACTGTGACCACACACTTTGAACTTCAGGTGACCAATTACAAATCTTGTGCCTATAGATGTTAAGAACTGTTGAGGTGTTTGGTGAGATGTCCATGAAAGACTTTGAGGACTGCAATATCAAAATATCATCTAGGGCATTTGAAATATCAGGTTTAATTAATTCCTAATCATCCCACTACAATATATAGTAATTTATTATTTACAACTATATGTCATGAACAGACCTTAGGACAAAGAGCATGCACAAATCCTGCCTAAAGTGAATAATAATATAAAACTGTTTCATTAAACTGAAATTTACCAAGTACTGACTGAGAACCAAGCATTGGGCTAGGTCTACTTACCTGGGAGATAAGTAAGACCGAAGTCTTTTAGTACCCACTATTTTTTTGTGCTCACAATATTTTTTTTTGTAATGTACATGATCTTGAATTGCTTTTATCCCCACCCCAACATCCATAAGGCATGGATATACCATGAATGGAATTAAGGTGATTTCTCTCGAAGTTCAATAAGAATAACATGGCTTTAGAATCAGACTAAAATTAGACTAAAAAATCTAATAGACTAGATTAGAAATCTAATTAGACTAGAAATCTAGTCTAAAAATCAGACTAGAAAGAGTTATACTTTCTTCTCAGTAACCTGTGGAATGTAGTGCAAGAGTAACAAAGAAGTGATACTCATCCAAGACCACACAAGGAAGCGTGGGATCGTGTAAAACCATGGCTTTGCTCCCCAAAGTGCACAAGCACCTCTTAAATCTGTGGAGACATGGCAGAGGGCCTCACACCCATGTGTGAGACTCTGCTGTCCTCACCTGAGCCCTCAGGGAAGGGCCACAGGAGTATTCCCTCCAGCCAAAGACCAACAATGCTTCCAGGGATGCCCGCTGGCAATCCTGGTGGAAGAGGGACCATGCTCCTAATGTCCTTTAACTTCCCTTCCTGGGGGTTACGTGCTCAACCCTATCCCTGAAGGATGTCCCAATCCCAGCCCATTCCCAGACCCCTCAACACCTGTTTCCCTCCCATTCAGCCCGGCCCCTGGGCTTGCTTTGCTGACTTTCCATTTTGGGGGCATATATCTTGGTCTCATAACAGTCTAGTCTCTCACCTCTGCCTCTCCCCTAAGATGCAAATCTAACTTCCCTTTTTCTTTGATTCTGTGACAATTTATTTTCATTTCTAACACTGAAAAATTAGCTGTTTCTTACAATGGATGGGGCACTTTCAGGTGGTTGTGTGCCTTTTTTTTTTTCTTTCACAAGCCAATATTAAATCAATGGTGTATCTTCTAACTCAGGGATCACACTCCATGCCCTGTTGCTTTGGGTTCCATCACTAACCTAGATCCCACTGTGCTCATTCTACCTGCTGGCCTGGTCTCACCTGTCTGTTTCCTCCTAGGAGGTGGAAAACAATAAGCTGGCAGAAAACATGAATGTTGGAGTAGAATTGTGATACCAACAGTTGAAGCACCAAGTCTGTGTCCATAAAACCCTAATCCACCTTGCCCACTCAATTAAGATACAATTATTGGTATTTTGGATCCTATTAGTCTATTATTACATTATGGAGGGCCCTGAATGGCAGGCTAGGGTTTGCAGACACCCAAGTACTTCACAATCATTTAAGAATGAGAACTACTCAAGTCATAGAACCAGGTATCCTTACATACACATTTTCTTTGGCCAAAAAAAAAAAAAGTGACCAAAACTGTCTCCCATAATTACATCTTCTCCAGCCCTAAATATCAAAAAGGCAGGCAACTCTAGGTTGACATTTAAAGTGAAGTAAGAGTTGGAGCGCCTGGGTGGTTCAGTCATTAGGCATCTGCCTTAGGCTCAGGTCATGATGCCAGGATCCTGGGATCGAGCCCTGCATCGGGCTTTCTGCTCAGTGGGAAGCCTGCCTCTCCCTTTTCCACTTCCCCTGCTTGTGTTCTTTCTCTCACTGTCTTTCTCTCTGTCAAATAAATAAAAATTTTAAAAATCTTAAAAAAAATAAAGTGAAGTAAGAGGATAATAATTAAGTTTTTACATTTAGAAGGTCCCCAAGAAATGAGTTACAAAACCCAACTGATCTGGAAAAAATACACTGCCAGAGAGTTCAGAGACATGATAACCTATCTCTGCTCCCTGCCTACCCCCACCACACTGTTCCTGCGCTACGTTCTATGGTTTGGGTTAAAAAGGCCAACTGAAATTTGCTACAAACCCCCAGGCTTTCCTATCTTTATGTATGTTCTACTCCTCTCCTGTGATGTCTTCTAGCCCAACTCAAATATATCAAACTCCATACAACCTGCCACGATCCACGGAGTCAAAAAGAATTTCCTCCTTCCCCTGAAACTCGCTTAGGATGGGATTCTACTACACGACACCTGCATGCTAGTTACACACCACACAGCTGAGTCACAGTCGGAGCCAGCCAGCAAACATTTATCAATTAGATGTATTTCTCAAGAATACCTCTAAGATGGCGATGCTAACACGGTAGTTATTTCTCTAGAATAAAATAACATACACCAATGTGTATCTCCTAAACAGCAAAAAAGGCCACCTTAGGAACATTTTCTAAAAGAAACAAGTAGCCTCCATCTATCGCATGGTATTTCCTCTCCTACTGAGAAAAGAGAGGAAGGAAGGAATTAAAGGTGTTACAAGAAATACTTCAGTCACATACTCCCACCCGCGGGGAGTCACCAGTCACCTGCTTGAGGATGCTGCCACTTTTCCCACAAGGCCCCCATGAAGAACTGAAGGCCTCCAGGACTGTGGCCGTGGCCTACAGCTTCTACGTGAGTTCAGAGATCGTGCTTGAGGGAGCACGGCCATGCTTCTCCCTAAAACACCACACTGAGGTCAGCATAGTGTTGGGGGTTATACCCACATGTAGTCCACATGACCCAGGAATCCAGAGTCTCTCTGATAGGGTTTGGAAGGAAGACGTTCAGGGACAAGCTTCTGAGGACACTCAAGAGTTCTCATGGGTGTGTGATGCGTCACGAGATCGCTGTATCGTGGCTCTTGCCAGCAGATGGGGTAAGGCATGGGGGCCAAGTTCCTTCTGGTTATGAAACTACACTTTCTCACACCTTCCCCTCAGTGAGTAGGGGGTGAATCTAGGCCAGTTCTGGATCAGCTTTAGCCCTTCCTGAACTATTAACTATACTGCTATTTTGACTCCTTTCCCATAGAACTGGAGTATCAGTGCCTGTGGAAACCTTCCCCCCGGGCCAACAATGGCAGAGTGCCTTTCCAGGTTGACTGGCCACATTCCCTGATGACTAAGGAGAGACTGTTCTAGTGGAGAAGGTGTGTGTGTACGATTATGTGTATATGTGGATTCATGTGAGCTTACAGACCGGAATGATTCTTGAGTGTTCATTTCTGTGGTAACGCTATCCTATCCAAATTCTCGCAATAGTGCACACATAGAAGGATGTGACTCACTTTGAATCTGCCATGCCCTTCACTGTTGGAGAATTGTGTCTAACTGACAGGATGATTAAAGACGGAGAGTTTAGAAGTTGTTTCTGGAAAATTTTCCAGAAATCTTGACAAGGGTGGCCAAATGATATTTGCTAAAGACAATAAACAAGAAATGATGCCAAAGCTCCAATTTAAATGGTGTATGACAACCACCATTAAGTATCAGAATCATGCTGTATCAAATACTCTAGCTATTAGTATACTGATTACACTGAGCTGCCAAGCTTTGAAGAGAAACAACATGCTTGATCATTAAGCCACTCTGTTCTTGAGCTATAGTAATAACTGACTCTGTAAGTAGTATAATTTTTGTAACCTTCCTATTTCATTTTTTTTTTTTTTTTTTTTTTTTTTTACTTAACAGCTGTGACTCTCTTATTTTTTTAATGTATTTATTTTTGGTGTGCTGGTGAGCTGAAGTTAAGTGATATACAGCAAGACTGGAGAAGAGAAATATTTCACTAACACACCATCAAAATTAGTTACAAAGGATTTTACAACTTGCAAAATAATAATCTCTTATGCATACAAAAACTGTTATAATGGAGAAAATAATCTCATAGGGTCCTCCAATGTTTTATATATTGAACTAAAGTATATTTTTAAAATGAGATTTTATTTCTTATTATTTGGTCAAATAGAAAATGATTTTAGTATTTCTTTGTAACATGTAGATGAAACACCACGTTGCTTGTATTTTTGCACTCTAGATTAGAAATTCGAGGTCAGACCTTTAAAAGTGATATTATTTCTTCTTTTTGTCATTAAAAGCTAAGTTAAATGTAAAGCTGACATTTTTAACGCTACAGAAAAATCTTTTATCATCAAAAGGGCCAACTGGAAATACAACTTTCTTAAGACAAAGAATATAACACATATTTTAGGAAATTAAACAAGGACATTTTAGCAAGGTATCTTAAACTAAAATGGCATATTCATCACCTTAGGCTGATTGGAGATGGAAATATCAAAGGCATTCTCCACTATCTTG